CAAATTGTACTTAATTAAGCACTAGCTTTTTTTAAATACAACAGATGTCTCGAACAGACACTTATGTGCAAGTGATATAAGCTACCTATGTTCTTAACCTATCAATCAAATGAAAATGAGCTTTGCTCTGCATAGTAAAAGTAGGCTGCTCTTCTACGACATAAATCCTCTGTATAGCATGCTGCATATATCTCTTAAAAATGTGGTATGCAGAGTAAATGTCTCCACTTCTCTCTGGGACAGGACAACATCATGTCTCTCTGAAATTTTATCTGTTGCAGCCAAGTAGAAAGCACTCAACAAGCCAAAATAAACAGTAATGATGGCTAAAAATTACCCTGTCTCGGGTTCATTATATATAGCAAAGTGGTATGCATGGGACACAAAATAGTGCCTTAAGTAGACAGAGAATATTACTCCTACACATGGTCTGAATATAGAAATGCCTCCAGACAACTCCATAGCAATGCTAAGAACATATGAACTTGAAAGGAGCCACATTTCATTATCCTTCTATGATTTACTTTCTATTTAGAAACCACTGATTTAAATAATATCTATCTATCTATCTATCTATCTATCTATCTATTGACTTAGTTTGTCTTTCTCATTTGATACATTTTCTCTTTGACAAATAATATTAAATTATGGTCAAAAATGTTGAATGGTTTGTGGAACGGTTAAAACCCTTGTCAAGTTTTGTTTGTGTCTGTGTCCTAGCTGGGGAGATTTACTGTCTCTTATTTGTCCAGTTACCGTTGTCACTTGGACAGAAAATGCCAGAAATACAAAATGTTACTGTTGCAACCAAAACAGACGGAGATAGGAGATTTTCCAATGGGGACACATGCTCAGCTGACAGCGTGCTAAGGTGGCCTTGAATTTCACTTAAGAGAGATTATTTCATTTTGCATTGGGACAGAAAATGAAGGGATAACGCCCCAACAGTATACCTCCTTAGCAGAACACAGACAGTTTTAGCCATTCCCTACCCTATCTAACAGTAAAAGAAAACATTTTGTCTATAGATGCATTTTAAGGCACATGAACGGCATTTTGTTTCTAAAGCACTGTGTATTATAAATGTAGAGACCCTGCCTTAAGCAGGAGTGCCCCTAGTGTAAATTTAGTGTTATTGCTTGACTGTAGTTAGCCTAAACGTACTGTAAATTAATAGTTTTGCTTTCCTCAGGTATTTCCTAAGCTTAGTGTTATAGTTTGCTTCTGCCTCCTTTTGGGGAGTATCCCTGGCAATGGGGTAAGAAGATACAACAATTCTGAGTCATAAATATTAATGTCTCGCTGGCCAAACACTAGGAGGTTTATTGCCAGTGCTGCATGCTGTGGGAAGATATAAATATGTAGGGAGAGCTTGCTAAAGCTCTCTTGCCTTAGGGGCTTGCTGCGACAGGAGAGGAGGCGGTGTTGCTGGAGCTGTGCTTTTTTTCATAGACCTGCTGCATGGGGAGGGTGTTCTATGATAGAAAAAGCTCCAAGCTGGGGGTCTAAAGTTTCCTGCAGGCCTGCTGGAGAGTACATCAAGGATAATTGGAGCAGGAAGGTGTTTGCCTGGATTAAAACACCAGGGGTGATGAGTTTATTGCTGAGGAGTGTAGGGAAGAGCTGGGTACAAGCTGCGGACTATTAAAGTGATATTAAACCCTAATTTTTTTTTCCTTTTTATAATTAAGAGTATCAGAGGTACTTTATTTCCCTTTTTTCCTTACACTTTTTATTTCCTTGATTTCTAGTTATCCCCAAATCGCTAGCCCCCCATGTATGGGTGTCTCCATCAGCTAGCCAGCTGCTGAGGAGCCTCACATGCATGCTTGCCCCTGGCTTTG